GGCTGGTTGCCCAGCTTGGTTGCGATCGATCCCCTGCTAATAAAGCACTGGGTTCTCCTGGGTCATCGGCCCATATGCTTGAGGGCCCGTTTCCAGGCTGGGCTTCAGTGGTCAAGGTAGTGTAGAAATTTCCACTACCAGATCCCCTTCCCCTTCCAAACACAGATCCTATGTTACCAGGAGACCGTTCGGATAGGTGGCCTATCGAACGCATCCTCTCCAGCAACTCATCATACTGTTGTTGTGTTCGGGGCATTTGGTGATTGAGTGGCTGTAAGAGTTGCATGGCTCGCTGGCTGCCGACGCCTAAGGCGCGGAATAGGATAGTGGTTAGCAGTTGGAAGTTGGGAAGGTCGAATCCCACCGATTGTGCCTCAAGTCGGGCCATTTCGAATCGGGTAAGGGTGACATCGATTCGTTCCCCGTGAGGCACGTGGAAGTCGATGAGTTGTGTGCCGGAAGTGAGCTGTCGCTCATCTTCCAGGCGTTCGAACTTCATGCTTAGGAGGAACATGATGTAGGTCACTGGGTCTGTGTGGACCCCATCGATGTCAGCACCATAGTTGATAATGTCAGGCGGTACCCTCATGGCGAGTGTCCTCGCTAGGCCACCTAGGCCGCGTTGTATTGCGGCCGATTGGGCCTGTGGCGTCATACGTCCGCTTGTAACGTTGAGCCATGCGTTGACCTCGTAGATGTACTCACGAAAAGGTACATTACCTTGAGGGTCCCAATATGGGCCATGTGTTTGCCCATCGGTGCTGTTTTCTCCACGACGCATGTGTCCGATTGCTGCCCCCAGCGCGAACCATATAATAGCGAAAACGACTAGCCCGAGAATGTGTAACGAAGGACGGTTATGATACGCGTTGTCGCGCTGGGGTAGCGCCTTGTCGAGTCTTCGAGGCGCTCTGTCTGGCGGGTCTCCCCGCCCCTGCTTCAAGTATTGCGCTGTTAGCTCGTTGCCGAGCGGTTGGTGGTAACGCAATGATGAAGCGTATATGGTACCAGTCTGGTCGTCTAGACGTCGTACCTCTCGTGTTGCTTCTTGCTCTTGGATAGATCCTCGTAAACGTACTGGGAGTGGTGGCGCAGGGTGGTAGGTGGTCACGAAGATCGTGCCGAAGAATATGAGGCTAAGAAGAGCAAGAGCTGACCACACGAGAGTGCGGCCAGCTCCGCTACCAAGTCGAAAGTGAGCCTGGTAGCTCAAATATGGCATATAGCCTGGCAAATTGCATCCATCGCTCTGCTGAAAGGTACAGTATGAGGGGTGGATGAATAAGATAGGATAAGATCGATGTAATGATCTTTCCAGCACATAGCGAACACTCGCGGTGTCCGGGCAAATAGGGCGCGCGTGCCTTGGGCCAAAGGCAACGGCGCGCGAGCTATGCTCCCGATACTGTAACATCTCCCAAAGAGCTACCCTTAAAGTGAGAGTAGCAGGAGGGGGGCCAGGAGCAGAAAACACGTGGCAGAACCAGACGGGCAGATCGGGCGGGCAGACCCTAGCGGGCGGGTCGGGAAGGCGGGCCCAGGCGGCCAGGTCGAGCAGGCGGGTTGCTGAAGCGTGCGTCCTGCATGAATCGCGAGTCTCGAGCGACAGTGAAACTCCCAAGTAAATCGTGAGATAGGCCAAAGCGAACGCGTGATTCCTGAGTGTCGAGGGCGCGGCGCCTGAATAAATTGCGAGGAAATCCCACGCAAGAGCGCGAGCTCTGCATAAATTGGGAGGAGGTTCCCGCGCGAAAATCGGATTTGGTAATGAATGGTGAGGAGGTATCCGGCGGGAGCCGTTGTTGTTGTAACTCGGGGGCTTGGGGCCCAATTCTGATACCCAAGACTTTACCTGATAAATAAAAAAAAAAGAGAGTGCGAGCCCCGGGAAGGGCACAACAATTAGAAAAAGCGGTGCCCCAGAGGGGGGTCAACAATAAATACCCTTCAATAATGAGAGTTCAGCAAAAAGAACAAAAACACCAACAACAACAACAACAACAACAACAACAACAACAACAACAAAAACAACAACAGCAACAACAACAACAAAAACAGCAACAACAACAACAACAATAACTTTAAGACTGTTCGCTCCGATCTACTCGCGCGCCATTCGACACAGTATGTCCCGAACCCTCGGTACCCGCTCTCTTCATCTTCGATCGTAATCCCTTGGGAGTAGACCTTTCTTACTGCCACGTGCATTCAGCGCAGCCCCTGAAATAGAGGAAGCGAGGACGGATGGACAAGGGAGGGAGAGGGATGCAGCACAAGAGAAACTAGTAGGAGGGGCTAGAGCATAAATCACTTGGCAGAACCAGACGGGCAGATCGGGCGGGCAGACCCTGGCGGGCGGGTCGGGAAGGCGGGCCCAGGCGGCCAGGTCGAGCCGGCGGGTTGCTGAAGCGTCAGTCCCGCGTGAATGGCGAGGAAGTCTCGAGGGGGGATCAAGAATCCGCCACCGTGCCTCTGGGCACGGAGTGGGCGTGTCCTCGGGTCCGGTGCCTCGTCCTCTGAGCCTCAGCCCTCACTCCTGCAGAGTCTTTCGGGGAAAATATGGAGAGTATTTCTATTTGTGTGTATCTATTGGAGGAGGGAGGAGGAGGGAGGAGGAGGGAGGAGGGAGGAGAAGGGAGGAGGATGGAGGAGGAGCCCCAATTCCGAAATTTGGCGGGGCCTGCCGCGTGCCCCCGCGGGCTCCACGCGTGCCCCCCGGGCCTCCAGGAAGCGTCGTCGCCTAAATTCTCGGGGCCAGGAGGACCCCAAAACGGGCAAAGAGGGCCCCAAGAAAACCCCCGGGCGGTCCAAGAAGGCCCCGAGTCGCCGAGCGATGGCTCCAAAACTTTCAAGATGGCCCCCGGACGGCCCAAAGAGGCCTCCAAGAGGCATGCCAAGAGAGCCCCAAGAGACCAAAATCATTTTCCTTAGCTGTTTGAAGGATTGGGGCGTTCTCGACTGTTCGTCTTCCCGACGCTCCCGGACGGTCCTAGAGGCCCCCAAGACCGCCACAAGACGGTCCAAGAGTCATCCAAGAGGGCTCCTAAAAAGCCCCACGAGGTCCCCGCGAGGGCCCCAAGACGGCCCAAGAGGCCCCAAAAACGGCCCAAGAGGGCCCCAAGACGGCCCCAAAAGGGGCCCCAAAAAGGGAGCATGAAACGAAAACCCTAGCCTTACGCCCCAAGAGGCCCCCAGGAGGCCCCAAGAGGCGACCAGGAGGCCCCACGAGACCCCCAAGAGGCACCAGGAAGCCCCCAAGAGGCTCAAAAGAGGCCCCAAGAGGCCCCCAAAAAGCCCCCGAGAGGCATCCAAACTACCTCAAAGAGGCCCAGAGAGGGCCCCCACGAGATCCCAAAGAACATCCAATAAGCTTCATACCCACAACCCAAGCACGGTGGCGGGATGGGCTCAAGGCCATTAGATTATTATTTCAGAAATGAAAATTCAATAACAATCATTATAAGACTGTTCGCTCTGTTCTTCTCGTGTGCCATTCAGCACGCGTATCCCAAACCCTCGATACCCTCCCTCTACGTCTTCGATTGTACACCCCTTGAGGGTACATCTTCCCTGCCTGCCAGGTGCAGATGGCGCAGCCACGAAAACGGGGGAATGAAGGGAGAAGGGGAGAGACAAGAGAAGGGGAATGAAGGGGAATGAAGGGGGAAGGGGAATGAAGGGGAGTGGAGGGAGAAGAGGAATGGAGGGAGAAGGGGGGAGAAGGATGGACCACGAGGGAGACTTGCAGGAGGAGGGTCGGGAGCAGGAGCACGAGCAGCAGAACCAGGCGGGCGGGACGGGCGGGCGGCCCCTCACGGGCGCGTCGGGCGGGCGGGCCCCGACGGCCCGGTCTGGCGGGCGGGTCGCCGAGGCGTCGAGTGACAGCGCGATTCCCAGGCAGATCGAGATGGAATCTGAAGCGAGAGCGTGGTTCCCGAGTCTAGGGGGGGGGGCACGGCGCCGCAGTCCGCTGCGGGGAAATACCCACGCGAGAGCGCGATGCCTGCATAAAAGTTCTGGAGAGAGTCCCGCGCGAGAGCCCGAACTGGAAACAAATGGTGAGGAAATATAAGACGGGAGCCGTTGTTGTCACACACCGGGGACCAACAACACAGTTTGAGGATCAAGACTTCCCGTGATGACAAAAACTGGATGCGAGCCCCAGGCTGAGCAATTGAATCTAAAAACGCAATGTACACCTGGACCAGACAAATCAACAAAGAATTCTTGTGACACCAAACAACAACGCAACAACAATCCGCACCGCGGAATCCCACTTCCGCTCGGCCCCCTCACTCTGAGAAAGAGGCCTCCCAGGTGGGGTCGGAGCATTTTTGGGTCGGAGAATATGGGGTCGGAGGATCGCGCCGCCTCGTCGATGCATCGCCAATGCATAGGCGATGCATCGGCGACGTTGGCGAAGCATCGGCGGCCGTCGGCGTGGAGAAAATCGGGCTCCACGTCTAGCCGCATCGCCGATGTATCGGCGATACGGCCGATCCTCCGACCCCATCTACTTGGACCCTATCCAGGAAGCCTAGACTGACGTCGTATCGAACGACACGACCCTGGCGCTGCTTCCTGACACCGTACGGATCGTTCAACCTTGAACGATCGGCCGTTCCCAGAAACGTCGGATCGTTCAACGTCCACCGATTCTGGGCCGCTGGCGGCTATCAACCTTGAACACCAGCGGCGGGGTGGCCGCCGGTCGACACGACACGAACCTACCATAGACTGACGCCGTATCTAACGTCACCATTGCTTATGTAACGATTTCAATCCTCCGTCGCCGCCGCGCAGGCCCGCCATCGCCGTCGCGCCCTTCCGAGCCTCCCGATAAGGCCCGCCCCTCTACGTTCCCTCCTGGGCTCGCCGACGAGTCCCCATTCGTCACGTACCGATTTCGGTCCTCCCGAGGCATCACAGCGGCGGCAACGGAACCATCCGCACGACGTCGCCGCCGCGCCCCTCACGCGGCCCCGCCGGATTTGCGCGGC